ATCCAATCAAGTGACAGGAAGTTTCCTCCAGGGTGTGGCCTGCTTCTAATATATTGGACACTCAGGAAAAAGCTTGATTTGCTTTTTCTGGATCCTGCATTTGGCTTGTCATCCAACCTCTGGTTCTTTGGCCTTGAGCCAGTGGCCTGCTCTATTGCCTGCTGATCCTGGGAGGCATCGGTAGCCTGCCATCTTACATGCCCAGCTAGGATTCAGTCCCCTCTGCGCCAAAAGCCTCTTGTCTGATCTATCTTGGGCTTATCAGCTCTTGCAGCTATGTGAGTAAGGAGGAGCCTTCAGCTTGATATATATGTGTGATGCCTCTTTAGGGAACTCAGCCGTATTCTATTGTTTTCCTTTTTCAGTTGGCACTGTTGTGTTGTCACCCATTTCATTTCTTTGCTATTTGCACCTTCTGTTTTTCGTTAGATTTGCCAGTGGTTTGTTGATTTTATAAATCCTTTCAAAGAACCAACTTCTAATCTTGTTGACTCTATTGCTTTTATTTTGTTTCATTTGTTTCTGCTCTGATTTTTATTGTCTTCTGGTGACTGGCTTATTTTGCTGTGCTTTTTTCTAATTGTTAAGAGATACTATTAACATTCTGATTTTATTTTTTTGATGTGGGCATTTATTGCTATAAATTGTCCTTTACTTTTACTGTTTCTCAAAACTTTTGGTATGTTGTGTTTTCATTCACATTTGATTCAAGGACATTTTTTATTTCTTGGATTCCTCACTAGTTATTAAGCAGGGTATTTATTATTCAATTTCCATGTGTTTGCTTTCCCCCTTTAATCTTCCTATTACTGATTTCTAATTGGGCAATGTTGTGATCTGAGAAGATGCTTCGTAGTAGTTCGGTGTTTCAGGCTTGCATTGTGCCCTATTCTGGTGAATGTTCCATGTGCACTGGAAATGACAGTGTGTTGTGCTGTTGTCTGGTGGAGTGCTCTGTGTATATGTATGTAGTCAAGTTGGTGGAGAAATCTCAGGGAATTAAACGCTTAGAGGTTCTGCTGCTGCTTCACTTTAATCCAACATTTTTCAAATTGGTTTTCCACAGGAAGCACCCCGACTGTAGGTTCCTCCTGGAGGCTGGTCTGCGGGGCCGGAGCTGCATGGGCTTGCTCTCCCTCCCCTCTGGCTGGCCTGTCTGTTTGGGCTGCAGGCCTGACTGCTGTCCCAGAGCCTTCTATCCTGCAGGTCTTGGAAAAGGGCTCTGATGCTTTCTGGTGCAGTGTCTCGGCTTCTGGGACCCAGCCTATGCGTTCCTTGACAGTGGGGCCCAAGCAGCTGGCCCCTTCAGTTCCAACCTGGGCAGAAACATGAGTGTTGGGGCACTCTGGCGACCTCCTCTTCCACAAGGCACAACAGGCTCAGGCTTCTCTGTGACCAGTGGGCAGCCGTGTGTTGGCACAGAGCAGTACAGTCTCAGGGAGCTCAGGACTTAGGCCTGAGTGCTCCCATGGGGAGGTTTTTACCTCCCTCAGCTGGTCAGCTGCACACAGGCCTCCACAGAGCTCCCCGGAGTCCAGAGGGACAAGTAGCTGCAGGAAGCTGAGGGCTGTAGTTTCTGGACTGGGAGCATGTCCCTGCCTCAGCCACTGTCCCAGAGGCTGGTGTTCAGGGTGGGTGGGGCAGTGTCCTCTCTGCCCACTCTTCTGTGGCCTTGGCTTGGGAGCCTGAGGTCGAGTTTTGAGCCCCGGCTTTGCTGCTAATCCCTGAGCAGTCTTGGCAAGATTTTCGCCTCCAGGGCTCAGTTTCTTCAGCAGAGCAGTGCCTCTGCATTGACCCCACTTATACCTGAGTGCCCCTCCTCAAGTCCTGGGAGGAGAAGGGACAAACCACCCCTCAATGACCATCTATGCCACTACAGTCTGGAAGGCTCCTGTCTTTTAAGGCAGGACAAGAGGAGGAGAGAGGGCTGGGGAAGGAGGAAGGGGCACGGTAAGAATGTTCTTCAGTTGTGATGATGGCTGCACAACTCTGTCAAAACACTTGAAGACAGTGAATTGTACACTACAAACGGGTGACTTCTAAGTATGGAATGTGAATTCTGTCTCAAAACTATTACCAAAGAAGAGAAGGAGTTAGTTCTCAAACTGATGAACGCACCCTTGGGGAGACTAACTGCCCAGAGCTCTCGTGCAGTCCACAGTTGACAGCACACTAATATCCCAAACAGGCCGTGGTTCCAGGAGAGTCCACCTACCAGTCACAGTCACTTACCAGCAGCCACACAGGAAGGCTTGTTGATGTCTTTATTCATTGTGGACTATTTCACATGCAAGAACCCAAACTAGAGAGATGACACTGAAAGGGGGCCAGTAGGTTAGGGCCACTCTGAGCTTCACACACACACACAGACACATGTGACAGGCACAGAAAAAGCAGGCTCCAGGGACAACTGGGCCAAGGGCTCTACACATTCCTCTTTTCAACAATCCCTAATAATCCTGAGAACTCTCACCCAGTAAGTGCAAACTTTAGGAAACTTTTTATTACAGTAGCTATTATGTGGGGCCGTGAGAGTCACGGCAGCTGTCCCAAGTCTGCACTGCCAGGGACACCCAGCTAGACCCTGGTGGGCAGGAAAGGTGGAGGGAGGAGCTCTGTATGGCAGGGCCTGACAGGAGTGGTTTCTAGAGGGACTCGCAAGTCCACGGAGACCGGGGTAGAGGCTCAGCCTCCTCCACAGTACTCCCACCGGACCTGCTGGGCCTGCCTTGAACATCCTGAAGGCTAGGCTGGACAGTGCAGACGTGTGTGGGCATCAGGGGGACAAAGTGCTGTGAGGACGGTGGGGGTGCTGCATTGCTCAGGGCCTGTGGTGGGACAGGGACAGGCAAATAGTATTAGTCTCTCCTCAGACAGCAGGCCTTTAACACTGAGGGCTGACAGAAAGACTCCCTCTGACCTAGGCCAGCAACAAGCTCTCTCGTGCTGATACGCCAGGCCATGGCTCTCCCAGCCTGACTCCAGTCTATCTGCCTGTACCCAGGGTATCCAGGTGGGGATGACCACCAACCCGGTCAGACTTCATTCACCTCACTGTTACCCACTGGCCAAAAAGGCAGGTGGAGTAAGAGGGTTAGTGTTCACATCTCAGCAACAGAAACACAGAAGAGGTTAAACACATCCCAAGAAAATATTTTGACAAAATAAATATTTTAACCTATAATCTGGTGTAATTAGTGTTTACGGGGAATCCCAGGAACAATTTAGTGTAATTACGTACATACTGTATCTGTGATCCTAACACTGTGGAGACTGGGAGTTTGGGAGGTCTGGATTTCCTGCAAGGTCACTGCCCCTCACGAATCTGGGGGCCTATGCTGCCAGACTGGGGGTCAGCCCCAAGCCCAAGGTGCTGCAGTCTCAGAACACCCTAGAAAAGTGTTCAGATCCCCTTCAAGATACTGGGGTCTGTGTGTGCTTCCTCCCCTCGGTATATGTTGCGGAAGCCATCTCTGGGCGGGATGTTCGAGCAGGAGACACTGGGAGCCATCTGAGGGCTGGTGTCGGGCTGGGAATGGGGGTGACACTTCTCTGCTTGGGCCATGCCACAGGTGCCCACTACCCTCTGCTGTCCCTAGGCTTGGATACTGTTACTAAGGATAGCTATGCTGGGTGAGACGGGAAAGGCCCGACTCCCCCATGGATCTTGTCCTCCCCAGAGTGTCAGACAGCTCCTGAGCTAGGAGATATGGGGGTCTCTGGGCACAACAGAGCATTCTGGCCACTTTCCCTGCAGCTGACATCAAGCTAGCTAACTTCAGCAGCCCAGCTGAGGCTCAGGGGCTCTGGCCTGGACGAAATGGGGGAGGGGAGTGGCTTCCAGAGAGGTCAACCTGGAGTCAGGATGCAGGATAAGAGAATGAGGAGCATCCACATTACTGGGGAACTGGCTGCCCCTCCAGAGGAAGCTGCTCAGCTCCCTGCGCCTGTGGGCCTCCCGCTCCAGACTGGCCCAAATGCTCTTTTCCTGCTCAGGCTGACAATTCAGCTTCTAGACTCCCGGGGGCCTGGGCTGCCTGTAGGAGGTGCAGGCCCCCCACCCCCACTATAGAGGCTCAAAGGAAGCTGCAGCAGCATGATGGGAAGGGGAGTGGGGGAGCACTGGGCTGAGCCCCACACCTCTCACCCACAGCCAGGAGGTACACCAGGAGGGCAAATGGTGAGATAAGGGTGCTGCCAGCCCTGCCAGCTTGGCCTGGGCTCTGCTGCCTCCCAAGTCAGTGATCTGCTGCAGCCCAGCCTGGGATGGGAGGAGGTAACGCTGTTGAATGGGAGGGCTGAGGCTCCTTCCCAGGAGCGGGGTTCTCTGAGCTGTGCTGGAGACAGAGGTGCACAGGCTGCCCCAGATCAGTGCATTCACAAGCGCTAAACCTTTCCCAAGCAAATCCTTCCACAGAAGGCCTCACGAGGCGTTACAAGGGCACAGGCTGTGCATGGAGACGCTGGGGCCATGGTGGTATGTCTCTGCAGGCAGGAACCAGCATGCCAAGTGTCCATGGGCTGTGGCAGCCTTTGCAGCCCCTTTGAATCTCTCCCATGCCGGAAGCCTGCAGGAATCAGCTCAGGTGTGGGCACAGTGATGGAGCGGCGTCACCACACCTGCCAGGACCTGCTCTTTCAGAGCACCAGCACAGAGCCGTTCTAGAAGGTGGCAGGCCCACTTAAGAGACCTACTTGGCCAGGGCAGACATGGGCATGGCAGGGAGGAGATGGCTGCCCTACCCAGAGCTGGCCTAATGGCCCACTCCTCCTGTGAGGTGGCAGGGGCAAAGAAAGCATGGGTGGGCAAGGGGCTTGAATGCCATGAGACTGTCCCACTCCCCAAGAAATTAAGGTGGTGAAAGTTGGCCCTGACATGGGAAGCCCAGGAGCCAACACAGTGGGGTTTCCATGGAGATGTAGGTGCCAACCTAGAGAAAGAGCTAGTGCCGGGGCTGACTGGTAACCTAGACCTCCGGGCAGGCAAACAGTACAACAGCTTACAGGGCGAAGAGGGCGTCCTCAGACCGCTCGGGCTTCTTCCGGCTAGAGGAGGCCAAGGCTGGGGGCTGGGCCTCCGCGGGGAGTGATGAGAGGTTAGGGACCATTTCAGCAGCTTTGGCTCTTTCTTCAAGAAATTTATCAAACTCTGCAATGAAACCAAAGAGAGGGGCAGGACAGTCAGGGAGCTAAGTCCTCCTTGCCTGTAAGCAGCGCTGCTCCAGTCTTCTGCTTTCTGGGCCTCTCCAGGCAGGAGGTCTACCTCTCTCCCACACAGCCTCGGGGCTGCAGAGGGGGAGATAGGGTAGAGAGAGCCACGAGCTGGAGTCAGAATGCAGGGGCCGTTTCTGGGCAGTGACCTTACAGAACTCATACCTCCCCTGCCCCAGCTAGGATACGGACGGAGTCCTGACAGCTAGTGGGTTTCAAGCTGGGCTGCTAATCACCAGATGTCCCTCGGGAGGATGATTTACTGTCTCAGAAGCCCTATACAGGGTGGCTCTGGGTCAGAACTGGCTCCACAGTACACCACCACCACTCCTCTAGTGTACCTCTGGGGAAGTGGGCGACAGGTAGCTGTGGTCTAGGGCCAATGAGAGCCCCATTTCCTTCAAGCCACCCAAGAATTCCCTAAGAGGCTCCTAGCTCCCCTAGCCTGAAGGACCTAAGGGAAAGGCCCTGTCCACTGATGTGCAAGCTTGCTGGTTTCCAGATCAGCTCTGGGGGCAGGTAGATCTAGCTCCGGATCCCACCCTCCCCCACCAAAGGGAGTGAGGAAGGAGATGGGTGTGTTAACACCAAAGAGATTCTGTCCCCCACCTCGGCCCTGTGGAGGATCTGACCTCTGAATAATGGATGGCAGAACAGACAGCAGAATGGGGGACAGCAGGTTGGATGAGGGCAGGGAGGGACAGGGCAGTGAGGTGAGGACAGGAAGATGAGATGGAAGACACGGGGCTAGAAGCCTTGACAGAGAAGGAATCATCTGCTGCACCCCCAGAAGTAAGGCTCCCAGGAAGTCCTCAGTGTCTGTCCAGTGCAGTGCCTTCACCCCCAGGAAGCTGCCCCTGGACTAGGCTGAGCACTCAAGTAGGGACAAGCTGGTGGGGAGCTGTGCCCAGGCTGGCAGTCTGTGTCCACAACTCCCTAGCACATGCTCCTTGTGCTCTCATGTCCCCAGGAGCTAGATGGGAGAGGTGACAACTCCCTCCTAGGAATGAGGACTAGCTGGATCCAGGCTGTGCAGCCCAGGAGGCAGAGGGTCTGACATGGGAGTGGGAAGGGGAGGGGGAGCAGGGAGTGGAGGCCATACCTTCGCTTGTGACCCCTTCCTCCGGGTCATCACCCTTCTGTGAGAGAAGCAGAAACAGGGGCATTAGTCTTCACTGCTGCTCTCCAGCCTTCACCTTGACCCCCACCACTACCCCAGCTCCCAGAGTTGTAATGGTATAGCACTCTTTTTACTGGAGGGACACTGGTGGGTGGCATTTTGGGTTACATGTTGGGCTGCTAACTATAATAAGGTCAGCAGTTAGAATCCACCAGATGAGGCTTTCTGCTCCCGTCAAGATTGACAGCCTCAGAAACCTTGTATGGGATTGCTATGACTAGAAGCCAACTTGATGGTACACAGAAACAACTTCTTATTGGAGAACTAGAAACTCTATTTACAGTCTCCCTCACTCCCCCGCAAAACAAAACAAAACAAACACAAAAACTAGGTTCTAGGTCTTGACCTTGCAGAAGGGTTGGAAAGAAAACTCTAGAAAAGATGCAGCTCATTCTCTGGTCTGGACTGAGAACCGAGCCAGATGTCTTCCCAATCAATCAAAACTCAGAGCTCATGCAGGAATGGGCAGGAGCAGCCCAGGAAAGCTGAACTGAGGTGTGCCCGTGCCCACATGCCCCTCCAGCCAGGGTCTGGGAAGTCTGTCTGCACTGCAGCTGGGAAGCTCCCCAGTCAAGCAACCACTAAGCTTCCTGAAGCAAGTCGACTTGGTTGCATGTGGAGCTGGCAGGTCGCTGGATGAATGGGGCTGCCAGGCGGCCTCTGGGAATGCTATTAACAGACAAGTCCTGGGCTGAGATACAAGACCTGGTTCCTTCTTGGCTCTGTCCTGACCTTCTGTGTGGCCTTGTTGGACAGGCCCTTTCCCCCGACTGGGTCTTGGTGTCCCTGAAATCAGTGAGGACTCTGCCTCTGTGTTGTAAACTCTTTCTTTTCAGGACATCACATTTGGGAAAGATATAATGAGGCATTTCCCTTTTCCTCTGGCATCTAGGGGTGGCAAAACCTGGCCTTTGCGAAAAGAGGTCCTGGTTAGAAGCCTGTTGTCATCAAGAGGGATAAGTAGGAGGAGCCAGATCATCAAGCCCAGAGACAGCCAGCCTGACCCTGTGGTTAAGGTCCCGAGAGGCTGTTCAGTTACTGGGGTAGGTTTTCTCTGAAAGGGAAGCAGCTGGGAGCAGAAGATAAGGAGACCCAACGTCTAGGGAGAATCCACCAGCCTTGGACAAGCCAGCTTCTCTCACAGAGCACATTTCCACACCAGCCAAAGGGCAGGGAGCTGCCGCTGGGCTGCAAACAAAATGCTTTGCAGGAATTAGGAATGGTGTGGCCTGAGGAACACAGCTTCAGCTCTCTGTCTGGGGAAGGGAAGCCAATGACACCGGACTCACCCGGGTGCATATTTTGCAATAAAAACATGTAGCAAAAGAACAAAAGTCACACACACCCGATATGGACAAGGTGCTGGGGAAAGGTGGCATGTGCTCTTGAGCTGCTCGAGCGGACTCCACCTCCAGCTCATTCTCACTAAGTGCACACCCATCGAGCTGGGAGGCCTGGAGGAGGGCATGGCCAGGCCCTTGGAACCTCAGATCAGTGGGTGCCTGTGAATCCGGTGCGCGGCAGGTGGTGACCCTGCCCCAGACTGTCCTCCCCTCGCCCCGTGAGGTCTCTCACAGAGGAGCCTGTGGCCCTGAACACCCGCACATGAAGTCCGAACGTGGGAGTCTCACCAGGTCTGTCCTGAGCCACACCTCAATGTCGTCCATGACAGAGGGCTGCCCAACGGGGATCTACGGTGCAGTCAGCGGGCAGGCAGCCATACAGCCACAGCAAAAGACGACACACACCAGAACAAAAGAAAATTGTCAAACGCCACCCCAAACCAAACCAAAAAGCACATAGGGCAGCAAAACATGCACAGGGCACCGCAGGAGCGCAATGGGGTGCAAATGACAAGCAGCAGTTGGCCAGCGGGTTCTGAACAGGGAAGGGAGGGTGTCTGTACGTGTTCTTGAAATGGACAACTTTTTGACTACATGTGTCATGGTGACCCCGTGTGGTACACACTCCTAACAGAAAGGCTGATGCAGTTCCACCCAGTAGCACCTCAGAAGAAAGGCCTGGTGATATGTTCCTTGAAAACTTTATGGAGCAGTTCTCCTCTGTATACACGAGGCCACCATGAGAGCTGGGATAACGCACTGGACTTCAGGGTTGGTTTGAGGAGCAAGGTCGGCGGTTCAAGCTCACCAGGTGCTCCTCGGCAACCCTATATAGGGTCAAGCGACTTGACGGCACTTTACAATGAAAACAAATCCCAAGAATGCAGAGGTTGGAGTGTTAGCTGCCCCCTGTCTGCCCAGCCCCTGGGTGGCGATGCATTGTTGTGGAGGGTCAGGCCAGAAGCACAGTGAGCCGGCAGCAGAGGATGTCTGGGGCTTTGTTTGCTCAGCTGAAAATATTTCACAATGTGTCCTAGTGCCTCTCTGAGTGGGCGTGGAGGGGCGCCAGGAGGAGGTGAGCACTCTGTTGCCTGGGTGCAGCCTAGGTGACAGAACGCAGCCACACTTTGCTACCAGCAGAAATGGCACAAACGGTGGCTTTGATGACAAAGGGGATTGTGGGCTTTCGGCTGAGCCCTCTTTGTGTCTCTTCAGGGGAAACCATGAAGCAGCCCTGAATGCAACAGCTTCCTTTAGTTTCATCCTTTCTTCCTGCTCTCAATGGCAGTCTGTGCTTTAGAGGTCAAAGAAAAGAGGGTCACTGGAGAAACCTGAGAGCAGACTCGGGGAGGCAAAGTAGAACCCCCCTCCCGTGCTAGGGCCTCCAGGGTAGGATTTACAACAATCCATCTGGCTAAGAATGTTGTAAGTTGCTGTCTGATCTATAGAGCCCCCTGAGAAGGCACGCTAACGAGATGTTGGCTCCCAGCCTGGAGAATTGAGCTGCCTGCCCTTCACCGAGGTGACCTGATCCTCACCTCGTCTGGGTCCAGTGGTGCCTTCTGGGACTCACTTGGCATCCCACTGTTTCTAGGGGAAAAGCGGTAGCACTGCATCTGGCTTCATCTAGTGCTAATACCCAGTGTAAGAATGAGGTCAGAATAACCAGGCAGAGGGCTGCCTCAGGGTTTACTGAATCTGAAAGGACAGGAGCAGAGAATCAGTTCCAACAGCTCTGCTGGCACCTCTGGCCCTGGACACTTGCTGCTGGTGAGTTTGGAGCACACGGCACAGATGACGGGGCATCTAAGCCCAGTGAGGTCAAGGGTGGTCTGTGGCCCTGCCCAGAGCCCCTGGTATCTGCATTCAGCATGCTCAGAAGCCCCCTCTGATGAACTGGGAACCTCACTGTACTCGGTACCCTGGCTGAAGGCCCAGTGCAGAAGGTCCACGCATGACCTGTCAACCGTGGGCAGTGTCAACAAAATACTGTGTGCCACTTTGTATTTTTAATTAATGGATTAATGGGGATGGAAGAAAAAATTTAAATACCAGAGTTCATTTCCCTCTAAAATGAATCCTATAGATAAAGAACATGTGATCTACTCAATCCGGTAGCCCAAATGCCTGAAGGGATGTGTTCACAGCATCTAACACAATGCCCACTTCCCACCCCACCACCGTCTCCCCAGGCCAGCAACAACACTGCCAATACTATGCCTGCTGGCAGACCTAAGGGTAGGTGCTGATGGTGCCCAGCCACAGAGAAGGGCCAGCTCAGGTCCTGGAAAGTCAGCCCATGGCTCCCAAGGAAAACAGCCCCCAAGGTGTGTGAGTGATGCAAGGCCCTTCCCCACCTGCTCTGCTTTATCTCCCCCCGAGAGAAATGGACACTAGAGAGGCAGAGCTTCTCAAGATGCCGAAGCTTGGAAAAACATCAAGGGGTCCTGGGCCTTAAGTCTTCAGATTTTTGAATTGTCTTGTTACTGTTGAAAAGCAGGTCCTTCAATTCTGGGACCATGTTGTAATTTTCCTCTTTGAGGATTCATCTTGAGAGTCGGCATGCTGGGAAAGTTAAGTGTTGACATTTGAGATACTTCTCCAAGAGCTGGTTCATGGGAACAATTTCCTTCCCCTCCTGGATTTTCCATGTGAGTAGCATGTTTAAGTAAGTTTAGGACTAGCTGCCTCCAGATCCTGCAGACCAGGCCAGGTGCCCAGGTGCTGTTGAGGAGGTGAGGACACTGGGCTATGGTGGGCAGTTCTGGGTGTGGGCAAGCTGCTCTCCCACTCTTCTGGTGGCCCGGCTTCTCCATCAGACAGCCCAGCTCTCACAACCTCAGGTGCCTCGCAGAGAGGGCAGGAGGGACCCAGGGTGCTGGTGCCTACAGCATGACTTCGTCAATTTTCTCTTCCTGGCTTCAGTTTCCTACTGTGAAGTAAGGTCACATTAGCTTTCAACACTTGCTGACTCCAAGTCCTTTAGCTCAGATTTTTGTTGGTGCCTACCACTGAGTCAGCCCTGACTCGTGGTCGCCCTAGTCGTCCTGGTCCTGCGCCATACCCACGATCAGTTGCGGATCTGACTGTTGTGACCCATAGGGTTTTTATAGGCTAGTACTCTAAGGAGATTGCCAGACCATTTTTCTGAGTCCATGTAAGTCTGGAAACGCTGATGAAAGCTATTCAACATCACAGCAAGGCTTCATGCATGCGTGGGTGACAGCAGTGCATTGACCGGGAATTGAACCTAGGTCTTCTGGAAAGTCAGCCCACAGACCTCCAGATCTGTGCTTCTGTTTCCTGAGGCAGAAACTCAGGAATGTGGGAAATGATTATCTCCTTACACTGAAAGGCACTGGGCTCGGGGGGGCATGGAATCACTGCAGATCGACGGTATTGGTTAACAGTTAAGTTTATATACTGCAATGCACAACTGAGTTTCTTGTGGTCGGAAACAATACCTTTGCTATATAAACCTCCTACCCTGGTAAATAAATGCCTTGGGTATTACAAAAGGATAAAGTTTCTTCTAATACTATAGATGTTTTCAGACACAGACTAAACTGTGTGGACTAATGGAACTACACAGAGAGAGGAGGCAGTCCTGCTCTAGGCTGGTGAGGACAAAGAGGCCATGGCTAAAACAGGGTGACAGGACATGCCACCCACCCAAGGCCTTGATTTTCCCATCTGTCCATAAGAGATGGGGCCAGCTGACCCTTAAGGTTCCTGTTGGCTCCAACATGCCACAATTTTGGCACATTTTTCAAGCAATGATCCAAGCTGATGGCTATTCCAAGTGGTCTGAAGAAGAGGGTGAAGAGTTGTGAAGAGGGAAAAAGAAAGAAGAGGAGGCAGGACGAGCTGGCTGGGCTGGAGCAATGGCTGCAGGTGCCCTGCCCAGCTCCAGGGTCTGAGAAGAAGCTGGGCCCTCAGATGTCAGAGCAGCAGTTTGGTCTGCAGGTAGGGGTGGTTCTGAATTCGGACCAGGGGCCATTTTGTTCTGTGGTGACTCATAGTCCTTCCTATTGTATGTTTCTGGATACTCTGTGCATCTGGGAGGCTCTCCAGCTGACCACCAGCTAGGAGCAGGCAAAACACCCCCACCCAAGCACCAACAGAACATTCTAGCAACTCCCTGGGAGCCACACAGGCCAGCTCACTGCTGGGGAATCTTGTGGTGTTCCCCAACTTCTGGCTGGATATCAACTACACGTGCAGCCTTGGGGAGTGTGGTCCACCATAGTCCCAAGCCCTTGTGGAAACCTAACTGGGTTTCAGTGCAAGATGACACCATCTGCAGCTTCAGAGAAGTTGTCCAAGCCACTCTGTAACACTTCCACCACCACCCTGACAGGAGGAATAGTCTAAAACTTGTTTGCTGACACTCAATAAGATGAGGCGTTCTGCTCCCGTAAAGATGTGCAGCCTCGGAAACCCTGTATAGGGTCACTATGAGTTGGAACCGACTGCATGGCACACAACAACAACAACAACAACAATAGTACAAAAAGTTTCCAAGTGAAGACTTTGTACCAGGAGGTTTGGGGAGGTTCAGGGTTTCTACACTATGGGAAATAGGGCAGAGCAGTTAATACACATTGTTTAAAAGAAAAAGAAACACAAACAGTGTAGCCAGGCAGGCAGGATGCCAGGTTAGCTGTTAGTGGGTTTGTTTCAGGAAAGTCGGGGACTGGAGCTCTGTGTGGGGACAGGGCAGTGCAAAGGCAGCCTGTGTGGGCAGGGGCAGGTGCCACCAGCAGCAGCCAAGGCCACACTCAGGCTACTTGGTGTGGGCAGTATCCTTTCTTGCAGGATTAATAGGCACAAGGACACATGGGCTGGATCCTCCCAGTTTGGACACTAGAGTACCCTGCTCTAAGGTCACCTACATGGGCCAGAGCCCTAGCATGTCTCAGAAGTAGCAAGCAAGGGGCCTGACCAGCCTTTAGGCCAAACCTGGAAATATCTATCTTCTCACTTCTCCTGGAGTGTGAATGTGTGTGTGTCAGGAAGAGTGTCCATGTGTATCAGCGTCGGGGGAGCCTCCTCTATCTGAGCATGGCTGTTCAGGTCACCTACTTCAAGGTGGGTAGCAGGAAGACACCCCAATCCCATTTGGGCCAAACCTTTGTATGAGGGGCACCGAGCTCAGGCAGGACCTCTATCTCTGTCTAGACAGCCCACCTACTTGGGCTCCTCCGCTGGCTCCTCTTGGCACCGTACACAGGGGTTAGCTATGCTTCTTCATCATTGTGTGTCTTGAGCCCCCTCTGCTCCAATTAGAGTAGGGCCCACCCCATGTGTTCATCTCTTTGGCATCTTTGCTGAGCTCTGGTCCCAGGTCAGGGGCACTGGCTTCATGGCAGGGGAAGTGTCACTCCAGGATGATGCCACCTGTTCCCTAGGCACCCACACTCAGGGTCGCCTAATCGAAGTCTCCGTGCATCACAAGAATGGACTGAATTTGGCTATTAGTCATCAGCCTGCCCCACCTCCCGTGCCCCAACCCCAGGCTTTGTTATCTGTTATTCTGTTCTTCATGTGGATGTGCCTTTCCCTAAACACTCTCAACTGGTGGGGACCTTCGCAGACATAAATCACCACACTCTAATGATTATGGCTCTTATGCCAGGCTCACAGGCTTCCTGGACTGGCCAGCTGGGGGCAGTTGTTCTTTCAGATATGCACCCCTTCCCAAAGTTGCGGGAGCTTGTGCTCATCCTGGAAAAGCAAATACTGCCTGAAGTTCCTAAGACAGTAAAAGGAGGGAAGGTTCCCCACCCCCACCCCAACTCCCTAATGGTCCTGACCCTTGAGACCCAGGTTACAGACCTCAGCAGAAAACCATCAAAGGTGTTTCTGGGACTGGAAATCTGAGGCTTAAGGAGGGGACCATTTGGCATCCCGGTTAGGAGGAGAGAGTGGCCTTGTACTGTCTGGTTCGCCTGGGCTCAGCGGGGTGGCAGAGCGCGACAGTGAGCTGCTACACACGCAAGGGGAGGGGAGGCACAGGCCCGGCGCTGCTGGTGAACTCTCACCATTCCTTGGGCTATTAGCCAGCTGTCTATAGGCTCCAGGTCGGAGTCCCCACCTTTACCTCTCTGCTGGGCCAAGGACAGAAAAGTCCCAGAAAGAAAAAAGTCACATGAAGACACAGACTATGGTAACAGAAATGTCTCTGTTCAGACTGATTGTCTGTCATGTCTCCCATGCCTCCCTCCCCGCCCCATGTTCCCATTACCTACCTGGAAAAAAGAGAGAAAAGTTTAGCAACTAAGCATCCCATAGACACATATGCCAACACCTCCCGCACCTCTAGGGAGTCACATGTGTGTATGTGTATATGTGTGTATGTGTGTGTGTGTGTGTATGTGTGTATGTGTGTGTGTGTGTGGTAAGAACTGCTTCTTCCCACGAGGGCTACTGGTTTTGGCAGGAAACACACTTTTCAAAGAACCAGCTTTTATAAAATCATTTCCCTGTTTTCTAACCTATTCCTGCTGTTGTCTCTCCATTTTCCTTCTTTCCAATTGTCGCATATTCTTTTTCTAAACTCTTAATGTGAAAGCTGAATGTGAGTGTGTTTTTATTGCCTTTTTCAATGATGAAAGTATTTCAGTTAGGGTACTGAGATGCTTGCACCCCTTCATCTGTCTCTGCGCTTGGTCTCTTACACCTCAGCTGTTCATCTGGCGAGCATGACCTGGAGCACAGTATGGTCGTGAGGGTACACGGCTGTCCACAAGTGCGCGCACACACAGCTTCCTGGCTCTGGGCATGACGTCACCCTGCCACGCAGCAAACTCCACGGCCATTTGGGAAACATGCTGGTGTCACTGAGAACTTTGAGGACATAGCAGGATCCATGCCAAGCTGGCTTTCCAGGGTGAAGGTCTGAAAGTGGCCCCACCCCACCTGTCCTCTGGCTAGGATCCCTGCAGGGACATTGATAACAGCTGGGCACACCCAGGGTTCACCCTCAGCAGGCAGTGTGCTGGTGGGGACCCCTGGCCAGTGTCTCACAGGTCCTCCCAGGAGAGGTATGAAGACATGCTAGGTCTAAGTAAAGAGAGAAATAATAGGGCCATGGCCATTGTGTGCATTTTGGGAATTCCTGCCCAGCCCCTTCTGTGGGAAGACGTGAAGCTGACGGAACCCAGGGTGGTCTGGTCAGAGTGGCTGACTGGCTAGGCTGGCTCTTCTGCGCTCCCTGGTGGACAGAGCCAGTGGCCACGCCCCCATCTCAGGATGGCCTAGCCAAAGCAGATGCAGTATCTTTCTCCAGGAAAGTTTCTCCGGAAAACTGCTCACAGCACTGCTGCCTGCCCACACTCAGGCAGGGGCGACAGCAGGTCTCTGGGAAGCAGGCTCTGGGGCAAACCTGCGAGGGGCCCCTTTTGAGCTGGTTGAGGGGCTGTGAACGGAGAACCCTACAGTCTTCCCCAACCCTGCCCCTCTGCAGGGCACCGTTCACACAGCCATTTCTTTTTTTAGGTAAAAAGAGCAAAAAATCTCCCAAGTCACAGATCTTTTTCCTTGCAATGACTTGAAGACTCACAGAAACTGTACACAGGGTTTTGTTTTGGGAGCTCGAACTAGCACCCCACTTCTATTTCCATGTGTTTCCCTTCAGCTTGGGTCCTGCCACCTCCCTCCCACCCCTCTTCTCCTCGCCTGATTGGACTGGTACTTTTGGAGAGGCCAGCTACAAATGGCCATCAGAGATGACCCAGGCCAGCAGTCCCTAGGGATTGAGAAGGGCCCTGTCTGACTCTAGGGGCTCAGGGGCCTGACCATCCTAGCAGTAGATCCCAGCCTGCTGTCTGCTTCAGTGGGCACTCTAGACAAGTCTCCCACCTCGCTGGGCCTTCAGACTTTGGGGCTGGGGTGGTGTTCTTGCAGCATGTCCCTGTCCTCCATTCAAGTTCACTTCTGTTTAAAGATCCAGAGGACTGCAGGCAGAAAAGCAGGGTTAAACACCTACCGCTTCAGAGCTCTGTTTCCGACTGTCTGGTGCTGAAGTCAGTCCCCTGTCTGCCTCTGGGTCCTGGTAGGTCACCCTGGGACAGCAGCACAGAAAGCATGAGTTCTTCCCACCCTAGAGAGAGCCTGCAGCACCTTTCTCAAAGTATCGACGAAGCATCCTGGGTGCTTGCATTTGGGCAGAGGTGCAATGCAAGGCTCTGTTTCTGCAGGTTCAGCAAAGTAAGGAGACAGGAGTGCCACGCTGGCCCTGCTCTGGTCTCCTCTGGGATCTGGGATAGCATGCAACTCAATTTATTGTTTCAAAACAGCAATGCTGGGACATCTCTATAGCTCAGTGACAGTATGTCAAAGATGTCTTGGAACACCTTAAAGCAAAGGGGCTCAGTAAAGCAAAGCAATATTAATTCTTATTTTAAAACCAGCAGCCTTAGCAGCAAGCAAGGTGGCCTTCTGGGCCAGGGCTGCCACTGATTATGGGGTATCTTCCTCTGGCCACAGATCCTTCTAGGTATATCAATGTATCAGTTTCAAAAGCAATTTTTATTAATAGAAAGCATACGGGGCCTTGGCTATCTGGTTAACCTGTTGAGGTCTGAGCCGAGGACTCCGAGAGCTGAAGGCACCAAAATGTTAGGCCTCCTGGGAAGGTAAGAAAAAGCCCTCCTCAGCTGTGTTTAAGGAGAACAGAATGCTTGCAGCACGTGCTGGTGCCTCCTTGACGTGCAGGGCTATCTATTTTAGCATCCACTCCCTCAGTCCCATATGGCTAAGCCTTGCCAGAGCTGCTGCCAGGGAACTGCTGCCCTGACTGCTCAGCAGGGACACTTTGCTGCCAGGAACCAGGTCAGTCCTGGTCGGCCACATTGGCCTGCCTCTAAGCCCTTGGAGATGAGCAGCTGATTGGGTGTGCATTTTCTGCAGCAGCAGCATGGGGAAGAAAAAGCAAAGAGCATCCTCCCCTAGGGATGCAGGGAGAAACTGCGTTACCATCAGTCTAGAGGGGGTGCCTTGGCTGGCATTCGTTTGATATCTGCATTGAATGCCAAGTCTCACATCCATACTGTCAAGCCCCTGGCAGCCCTGGTCCTGACAAATCATGACCTCTTTGTTTGGCCTGTGATCAAGGTTAGGTCAACCAACCCTCCCACCAGTATATTTAGAGAGCAACTGAAAGGGTCCCCACATACGTCTTATGTTGTTCTGCCATGGAATTCCCTCTTGTCTGGGTAAACATATCGAAGCCGTCATGGGTGCTACACTGCTGGAGTGAACTGAGGGTGCCACTGACACTCTCTGTCCCCAGGTCTGTGGTGACAAAAGAAAGCCAGAGGAGATGAGAACCCAGTGTAGACTATGAAGTTAATGGAGGTCCAAAAAATGTGTTGGAAAACAGTTTGGCAGTTCCTGAAAATGTTAGGGTTGTCATATGATATAGTAATTCCACTTTTAGGTCTATGCCCAAACGATATGAAAACGTAAGTCTAAGGTAAAACGGGCACAAATGTTGCTAGCAGCATATTCATTATAACCCAAATCCTGAAACCACTCTATCGCCCATCAAATGGTGAATGGATAAACAATATGGGTGGCTCCATATGATAAGCACTGGACTGTGAACCACAAGGTCCAAGGTTTGAACCCACCAGCCTCTCCAAGGCAGAAAGATGAGGCTTTTTGCTTCTCCCAAAGCTGGTGGTTCCGGGGTACAGCTCTGTGGTTTGGGGACCACAGGACTTTCCTTAGTCACTCCCTGTGTACCCACTGCAGAAGAGCCACAAGGAGAGCTCAATGGAAAATGAGACCGGTGTGATGCCTCAGCTGCCAAGGACAGGGATTGCAGGGTGACCAGGAGACCGTTTTTAAGAAGGGTGGTTGCAGAACCCAATTTGAATTTTCGGTGCTAAATCTGGCACAAAAATCGATTTCAAAGAGAACTAGAAGCTACACAAGAGATTGAGGAGCTAGACAGTCACTAAATAAGGACTGTTGTTATTAAGTGCTGTGCAGTCAGTTCTGACTCATAGTGACCCTGTATAGGGTTTCCAAGGAGCAACTGCTGGGTTTGAATAATCTTGCAGTTAGCAATCCAGTGCTTATCCTACAGCGCCACACCAGGACTCAAAATAAAGGCCTTTTGTTGTTATTAAGTGCTGTAGAGTCAGTTCTGACCCATAGTGACCCTGTATAGGGTTTCTGAGGAGCAGCTGCTGAGCTTGAACTGCTGACCTTGCCGTTCAAACCAACTTTGTAGGTCAGCGCATTAACCCACAGCACCACACCAGGACTCCCAAATAAAGGCTTAGTACAACAGAAATGAATCAAAGCTAAGAAGAGAAATGCTAAGAAAAACAAGAATAAAGAATTTCATAATAACCTATTAGCTACTTTATGATTACAATTTTATTTCAGTTATAAACTAGCATTATCTGGTGAATTTATAGCCTCTAGAGTACTGGTGTGGCACTTCAGGTTAATGTGTTGGATTGCAGGGTCACCCAGCCACTCCTCGGAAACCGTATACAGGGTCTCTATGAGTTGGAATCAACTCAATAGAACTTAACAACAACAGAGTCATATGCACGCTTAAATGGAATGAACTATAGACAAGGGGTGAGTTTCTTTTAGGTATCAGACAATGGAGCACTTGGATTGATGGTATAGTTGAAGGGGCATACATGCGAGTGCCAATGTTTTGTTTCTGAATCATGGTTGTTGTTGTTAAATGCCGTCGAGTTGATTCCGACCCATAGCGACCCTGTTCTGAACCATGGTAGACGCTGTCAATAATTGTCAGAGACTCATCTTCTTAGCCCTGATGTATATCATCAGCATGCTTCTCAAACCTGAGTTCTAAGCAACCAATGAGCGGAAACCTATTTGCTATGCTTAGCCTAGCTGATGTAGCAAAAAGAAAAATTACTTCAACCGCAGGGAATATTCCAGATAAAACTTAGCAGGCTACTTTTCTTCAATGACACTATGTCAAAGATGTCAAAAAATGTCAAAAAATAAATCAAATACATAACTTCCAGTTCCAATCCTCAAACTGGCTTCCAACACAGGGTTAAAGTAAGTCTTGGGAAAGAAGTTATGACTGAAGGTGGTGTACTTGCCTAGCACACAGGATGCTCCCAAAGGCGCCCCCGCCAGGCCTTTCCACAGAGAGAGCGAGAGAGAGAGAGAGAGAAGGGTCCTCCATCCAGAGTCCTAGCCAGGAAAGGGCCCACAGAGGACCCACGGAGACACTCACCCAAGCCTGCCAGCTGGGAGGAAAGGGAGGCCGGTGGTGCTGTGTTCCCTACCATGGGGCTCACCACCGCCGGAGAGCCGGGCCCCAGGTCTATTAGGTTGTCTTCGGTCACCTCATTCAGTACCTGTCAGGATATGAGATTGGCAGTGAACCCCAGAGCCCTGTGTCAGCTCTGAAGTCAAAGCAAGCATGGCACTGCTCCTTAGGGAGTTCTGCAGCACCAACACAGAAGCCAGGTGGTGTTCCTCTGCTGCTTTCACTGACACCCGAACCACCAGGACAACAGAGACTGAGGAGTGTGCCTGCTAGCTCCACCAAGGACTCATCACCAGAGTCACCTTGACTCAGGAAGGCTGGGGGGAGGCAGGCTCAGTCTTGGGCCCTGAGGGGATTCTGAAGGAATACTTACTCCATTAGTGGCCTTCTGTACCGACAGGCCTGACCTGTACCGTTCAAACCTAAGAGGGGAAAGAGACACAGAGGTCAGGAGAGGGTGCCTGTAGCATGGCTCACACAGGCTCAGACACATGCTTAGACCTGAGGGCATGGGCAGGCTAGTGAGAAAGGAATCCAACCACTGGGGGCACATACACACACATACTGCCCTATGCCTTTCTCTGTGTGGGCCACCTGGAGGAGGGTAGCCTCCCTGGAAGGAAGCCAGAATTGTGAATGTCACCAGTTACCCCCACATCTAGGCCAAGAATGTTCCTCCTGCTCCTGCCACTTTATCTTGAATGTCTCCAATGTCTACCTGTAAGTCAGACAGTGGCTGCATCCTTCCTGATTTCACAGGGCCATGGCAGAGGGGGGGTGGGGGGAGCAGGGGGGAGTCACTGGCAGCCTCTATGATGTCCTCAATTCTGTTCTGAGGATGAAAGAAAGAAGTGCTTCTCCCTGGGAGACAATTAGCAGTAAATGCATCAACCTGCTGGAGGAATGGGGAAGGGGCAAGACGGGAGGACTTGCTCAGGCCCTGGCTCTGGCCCTGGCCTGGTGGAAGGCTCCCAAAGGAGCTGTCAGTGAACACGGTGGCTCTGTGGGAGGCTTGTCTGCACTGGCCAGTCAGTCATAGATGGGATTTGGCTTTGAGCAGCTCCAGCAAGTCTCTCCTCTCCTAGAAACACCACATTCTCATAACCTGAAAGAACTATGGGGAGGATTGAGGTGAGAAAGCAGTAATTTTCTGCCATTGTATTTAAAAGCTTCAAAATGCCATGGGCAGAGAAGTCTCTAAGAAATGTCTCCAGCTTGAGTCTGGTCCCCACGCTTGTCCTCTGAATCGGGAGGAAGGAACTTCAGGCAGGGTGAAGTGACTGTGATTTTAAGAAAGATTGGCATGGCATTTTCAATCTGTCTTTAGAAGAAAACCACCAGTACATCCCAAACATTTCTAGTCCTGGGTTACCTCTCCTCTCATGAAAACCACTTGAACAAAACCCATTTCACATGGTTAAACTGGAGCCACATAGCAGACAAAGGGAGCTCAACTGGGAGCTAGGATGTGGCAGGGTTGCCCCTGTTCAACAGACCCTCAGGGCTCCTGGGTGGCCTCACATTCTTACTTTGGAGCTTTCTTCATCTGTCAGATGGACACAGGGACACTGAGCCCGACTTACACATTAGAGAGCTCAGACAAAGCATATGGTTGTGACAATCACAACAACATCACTCTCTGCCCTGCTGTTGTCGTCATTAGTGCCGTCGAGCAGGTTCCAACTCATAGCAACCTGGTACAGGGTTTCCAAGGAGCAGCTGGTAGGTTTGAACTGTCGACCTTGTGGTTCACAGTCCAGTACTGATCCTACAGCGCCACACTAGGAGTTCCTCTGCCTCCCTAGAGGTTATGAAACTGCAAATATTTGTCCCACTGAATCCAATGATGCCAGTGATCACTTCTCTATTAATGCAAATAAGCGGTGAGTCACTTGGTACATCTGATGGGGCCAGGGCCTTAAGTCGGTCCCTTGGGACACTCAAGCAGGTCTCCTGATATCTTGGGCCTTGTCTTTGTAAAGAGAGGTTGGCCTGGCTCTCTCTGGTTCCACCATTGGGCAGGAAAGCCCACGGTGTAGCACCGGGTGATGATGGGAATGCCACCCACCATCACACCTCCTGTTGAGAACTCTATTTCAATAAGAAGTTTGATTTTCCCCCGAAGGAAAGCGTTGGAGGAGAAGGTTTGGACTACAGCCAGAATGAAACGAGTGTGCATCATCAAGCAGCAGCTTCTCACATCTGCACACTCTACACACACTGGAATTTCAAATGGAAAATCTTTTTTCCCCTCCTTTTAAAGATGGAGAAGATGAAACCCTTTTCCTTAGTAGAGTATTTTTTCCTTTAATCCTTTCCAGATTCAAAGGGCCATGAAGGGAGCAGGTAGGGAGGCTCCAGCCAAAGCCCTGCCTGCCCTGGGGCCAGAGCTGCCTGAGGCTCAAAGGGCAGAGCTGAAGTTTTCTGTCTTCCCAGGAGAACACCTGGATGTCTAGTCCCAGTCTCCTCTGAAAAATCCTTCCGGATGGCAACAGTTTTCTCAGGAGAAAGGAGCGAAGCTTGGCCTCACCTCTCGTAGCGTAGGAAGACGTTGTTGAGGTCATCGTTGACATGCAGCAGTTCCTCAGTGACCTCCTCATTGGATACTCGGGAGATGAGCTCCACAATGCGCTGCTGCATGGCCCGGCAGGTCCTGTTCAGCTCCTAGGGAACACACACTTCTGGCTAGCATGCTCCCGTACAGATTTACAGCCGCAGGCATCCTCTACAGGGTCGCTAAGAGTAGATGGCACACAACCACCACCACTGCCTTCAAAAAAAATTAGGACTGATTCTTAAAAGTGGCAAAAAGAGGCTATGCTAGCTCATAAACACAACAGTCAAGTGTACGGTGCAGCTTCCCTCTTAGGACACTGGGGCTTTGTCTACAGATAAGCACACACACAGACTGAGACAGTCAATGCGTGTACTCTTACATCACAGCAATGAGATCTTCGGTAGGCGTCTGTCTTCAACAAACTACCTCACCCCGTCCCATCACTCCTTTGTGTGGATGCTTCAATTTACCTCCCCTTCTCCCTCCTACGGGGTGGCCTCCCTTCTTCTGACCAGCCTAAATAACACCATGATCAACATTTACTCATACACCCTCATAAACTTCTACAAGCACTTCCTTAGGACAGGTTCACAGACGTGAACCACATGGTTTACTATGTAGGGAATGACAAATTAAAGAGGAATGGTGTTGCATTCATTGTCAAAAAGAACGTATCCAGATCAGTCATGAGGTACAATGCTGTCTGTGATAGGATAATACCCATGCGCCTACAGGGAAGCCCAGTTAATACCACTATTATTCAAATTTACATACCAAACCACTAAAGCCAGATTCAAAATGGCCAATACCAGTCCAGTTTTGCTAAAGGTAATACAGAAATGCCAAAATACAGTGTCGCCATGAGTCGGAACTGATTTGATGGCACTTAACAATAACAATACGAGTAAAGTTTTGCTAAAAGTACTACAGAAATGGCTACAATCATACATTGACAGAGAACTTCCAGAGGTTTAAGCTGGATTCAGAAGAGGCTGTGGAACGAGGGGTATCATTGTTGATGTCCAATGGATCTTGGCTGAAAGCAGAGAATATCAGAAAGATGTTTACCTGTGCTTTATTGACTATGCAAAGG